AACTCTCAATTTTGAACAAATAAGCCCCAAATATAGAGGCTAGAAAAAGGTGTCGGTTCCTCTCAAGCTGGAATTGCATGAGGCTGTGTATTGCCAGTTGTGCATGGTGCTATATGAATTTCCAACCTCTACAAGAACAAGTACTCTTTTATTTTTTTTCTATTTTTATTTTGCATACCAAACCCAGTTCCTCCTCCCTCCCCATATCCCAACCCCCCACCACCACCTCCCTTCCAACCCCCAACCCATCCATTTCTAAGAGAAGTAAAGCCTCCTTTGGGGAGACAACAAAGTCCAGCATATTACAGAGTCTACATCCAGTAACTGATGGAAGCAGATGTAGTGACCCACAGACAAGCACCAGGATAAGCTCCATGAATTCGGTTGAAGTGAGGGAAGAGGGATACAGACAGCTGACCCCAGCAAACTGGAGCTCATGGACTCTGGACTGTAGTTGAGGAACCTGCATGGGACCTAACTGGGCCCCCTGAATGTGGGTGACAGTGGCTTGATCTGTTGGATGCCCCTGGCAGTGACGACAAGCACTCTGGACTGCTCACCCATCTCTCCAGTCCCAAAGTTTTTGTAATTAAAGCAAAGCATTTTTCCATGAATGGATTTAGTCACAGATTGCACAACTGTATGCAATAATAGGAGAAATTCTTCTTTTGTGTGGAGATAAATGCACAAAAAAGGTGAGTCATGGTTTCTCAAAGAACACATCATAATAAATATTTTCTGTAAAAATACTTTTTTAAAAATGCTCCAAAGTATCAGAAACCTGTAGAATGTTATATTAAGCTTGGAGTTGCTTAGAGGAGAGTAGCCAGACTCCTCAAATCCAACTGCTTGACATACTTTCTATGATCAATTTTTAAAAATTATCTTCACTCCATGGAAATGTATTATCCTGGATCTTGATTTCTTTTCTTCATGACATCTATCCAGTATTAAAAATTCTATTCCTCTATGTAGGCATATATTACATAATTATAGACAGCATTAAAATATGAAGGAGGATTCCAAATTGAAGTTTTGTGTGTGTGTGTACATGTGTGTGTACGTGTGTGTATGCATAAATACATGTGTGCATATGAGTGTGTGTACATTCATGTGTGCATATAATTATGTGTTTGTGTGAATGTGTGATACTAATATGGATGATATTGACAACTACTTATATGTGTGGTATTTGTCTGTAGAATAGGGTGTGCCAAAAATGATATGTGTGTTTGTGTGTGTGTGTGTATTGTGTGTGTGTTCTTATATACCTGGTCTTAACAACTATTTAAGTGTATGGTATCTTGGGGGTTGTATCTAAAAGGATACTTGTGTTTTGGGTGTGTATGTGTGTATGTGTGTGTGTGTGTATGAATACCTATACAGCTGGCCTTGACTACTAGTTGTATGTTTGATCTGTCTGTAGGAGATGAGTTGCCTACAGTTTAATTAGATGTGTGTGTGTGTGTGTGTGTGTGTGTGTGTGTGTGTATGTATGTGTGCACGTGTGTGTGTACTTATATGGCTAGTCTTGACAACTAATTATATGTGTGCTATTTGCCTGTGGTGTGTCCAAAAGAATACCTAGGTGTGTGTGTGTGAGTGTGTGTGTGTGTGTGTGTATGTGTGTGTGTGTTTGTTAATATAGATGGCTTTGACAACTAATTAAATGTGTAGTAATTGTCTGTAAGTGAAGGGTGGCCAAAATGCTACCTAGTTGTGTGGGTGTATGTGTTTGTGTTTTTGCATGTGTGTGTGTGTGTTTTTGTGAGTGTATTTATCTGTGTGTGTGTCTGTGTACTTATATAGCTGGCCTTGACAACTGGTTATGTATGTGGTTTTTGACTGGGATATCTAAAAGAATACCTAGGTGTGTGTGTGTGTGTGTGTGTGTGTGTGTGTGTGTGTGTATGTTTACTTATAAAGCTGGAAATGATAGCTAGTTGTGTGTGTGTGTGGGGGTCCTGAATGTAGGAGATAGCATTCCTAAAGCTTAATTACATGAGTGGGTGTATGCGATTGTGGATGCTTGTGTATGTTATGTCTCTGTGTGTTTACTTACATGGCTTGTCTTGAAAGATTGTTATACTTGGATTTTTTGGGGAGGGTATTGTGTGTGCTTAAAGGATATCAAGGTGTGTGTGTGTGTGTTAATATAGATGGTCTTGACAACTAGTTATGTGTATGGTAACTGTAAGAGAAGGGTTACCAAATTGATACCTAGTTCTGTGGGTGTATGTATTTGTATTTTGTGTGTGTCTCTGTGTGTGTGTGTGTGTGTGTGTGTATGGTGTATGTGTGTGTGTGTGTGTGTACTTATATAGCTGGCCATGACAACTAGTTATGTGTTTGGATTATTACTAGGGGATCTAAAAGAATACCTAGGTGTGTGTGTGGGGGGGGTGTTAACCTATAAACCTGACATTGATAGCTAAATGTATGTGTGGGTTCTGACTGTAGGAGATAGAATCTCTAAATGTTAATTAGATGAGTGGGTGTATGTGAGTGTGTCTGCTTGGTCTGTATGTTTGTGTGTGTATACTTACATGGCCTGTCTGAAAGATTGTTATATTTGGAAATTTTGTTGTTTTTTAGGAAAGTGTGTGCTTAAAAGGATATCAAGGTGTGTGTGTGTGTGTGTGTGTGTGTGTGTGTGTGTTCTAATATATATGGTCTTGACAACTAGTTATATGTGTGGTGTGGTAATTTTCTGTAAGAGAAGGGTTGCCAAAATGGTTACCTAGCTGTGTAGGTACATGTGTTTGTGGTTTTGTGTGTGTGTGTGTGTGGTTTTTTTTTTTTTTTTTGCTATAAAGCTGGTATTGATAGCTAGTTGTATGTGTGTGTGTGTTCTGACTGTAGGAGATGGGATTCCTAAATGTTAGTTAGATGAGTGTATTTATGTGAGTGTGTGTGCTTGTGTCTGTGTGTGTATACTTACATGGCCTGTCTTGAAAGATTATTATATTTGGATTTTTTTATTTTTGGGGGAAAGTGTGTGCTTAAATGGATATCAAGATGTGTGTGTGTGTGTGTGTGTGTGTGTGTGTGTGTGTGTGTTTGTGTGTGTATGTATTTATATACATGGTCTTTACAGGTAGATATGAATGTTTAATTTTTCTGTAGGAGAGGGGATGCTAAAATGCTTAAAGAATACCAAGACGTGTGAGTGTGTGTGTGTGTGTGTGTGTGTGTGTGTGTGTGTGTACTAATATAGATGGTCTTGAAAATTACTTATGTGTATGATATTTTCCTGGAGGGGTGTGTTTAAAAGAATACTAAGGTGTGTGTGTGTGTGTGTGTGTGTGTGAGTGTGTGTGTGTGTGTGAATTAGAAGTATATTGAAGGCTCTGTGTCAGTGTGTGAGAGTGTGATATGTGTGTGTGGGTTCTTAAAATGACATTGATGTAAGAGGTTAACAGTGGGAGTGACATGCATAGGTATCAGGCTGTGATGTTCTCCCTGCCTGATTATACCATGTAATACAGCATGGCTATCACATTCAACTGGAGAACTCATCTTCATCCCACACAGAGGTATCAGCCCTCACCACTCCACACACCACACATCCACAGCTATATACCCCACCCAGTTAAAGGCCTCTTCTCCCCAATACTGCAGATAAAATGGAAGTTTTTAGGCTCTGAAAAGAGTCTACCCCTCCCTCACTATGCATCATGTCAGGTTGGACTTCTCAGCTTCAGCCAACATATTGTGCAAGTTATCAAGCTTTTCAGGACAAGTCCTAAGTCCCACATCCATCAAGAAGACCTGATAACTAGCAATCAATATGGGTGGCATCAATGGTGTGTGTATCAGGGTGTCATTCCTGGAATGGAAGAAGAGTAGCAAATTGTGTCCATCATCCCCTCTTCTAAACTTGTAGTTATGAGGCCCTGATACACATACCATTGATGACAGCTATATTCATTGCTTGTTATCAGGACTGGTTGATATTCCCTCCCTGGCTGCTACAGGCTCACATACACAGACCTCTCTTCCATCACACATGCACTGCAAGGATGTAGTAGATAATATCCTGCATAGCTAATTGAATTTAGTGGGTACTGAGTGTCAATGAGGTGCAGATTGTGTCCAGTAGAGCCTGAGGGGTGACTCTGCAGGAGGGATGGGGTAAGATGTTCTAATAGGATTTGATACAGATTATATGGAGGGCTTCATAGTTGGTGTCCAGCAAGTCCTAACATGGAGAAAATTACTTGGGGCTGTTGGAAAGCTGCTTCCAATACGACCCAATGTATTTCGGGAGGTGGGGGATAATGACATATCAACAATTGACAATTACTAACAAGGATGTTTGAGCATAGCTGCTGGGAAGGGACATGTCTATAAGGTCTCAACTCCTATTGGTGTGTGGGTGGGAGGGGAATTCAGAACTGATATTTTGTAATGTGTGTAAGCATAGTTATATGAGTGTGCAGGTAAAATATCAGGTAAGGCCTAATTCCTAAATGTGTGATTTGTGTGCTGCAGGTGTCCATCTGGCCCTAACATCTAGCAGTTTGGGAAATGTGGAGTGCCCAGTACAGCCTGGGTATGATGCATTCATTGTAGGGGAGGAGGAGGGAGATGTGTTCTGCATGTGTTGACATATAGTAGAGTGTGTGCAACAGGCCTAGAAGTGTGCAGTGCTAGGCTTTCTGGGCTCCAGGAGCAGAAGCATGGAGACTTGCCAGCTCTGGCAAATCCCATATCTTTCCTATGCACAATCTCCTATGCACAATCTCATACTGGGCTGAGGTGTTTGAGAGAAAAAGCAAGGCAGACAGAGCTGGAAGTGGCCCCAGATCTGGATAGTGATCACTCTGCTTCTTGTCCATATCTTCATGCAATAATCTTGAGCGTCAAATGGGTGTAAAAAGAGCTGAGCTGGGAACGTCATCCTGTCTGACTAGACATTCCCATCATGATGCCTAGCACCGAACCACCATCTTGTTGTCTCCCAAGGTATGTCAGCGGCCATGCAACCTCTAGATGTCCTAGGTTGTAGAGTCCTCCGGCCATTCTCCAGCTTCCGGATATTCTTGCTTGGTGGCATCAGAGCTCATGTGGCCACATTCATCTTCTCTGTTGTTTCTGGTCTTCCTCCATATGAAGCCGAACTTAAACAGGTCTCTTCTGTAACTCTCACATGAACTTTGCACTGTTTGCATCTACAGACAGCAGTAATATTTAAATTGAGTTCAGTTTTCTAACAGGTTCCTTATTGTTTGCTTTTGCATACTTGTCCTGCAGTCTTTTAAGACAGACCATTGTCTCTGCTTGATTTCCTGGGTGCTTCTGAAAAAAATCACAGTGCATGATTTAGGTGGGTCTGTTGCTGGGCTATGATTTCATGTGTCCAGTCTCTGTTCCTCCCCTGTCCAACTTTAAGGATATCTGAGGCTTTATATGATATTCCACAAGAAGCACAGACTCTTCTGTATCTTCTAGGATTAGGCTCAACTGGTTGTTACATTTGGTGTTTGGGCGTCAGATGGCAATTTTCAGAGTCCATTTGAAAAAAAAGATATGTCACTTTCACAACAGTGACTGATGCTGAGGAACAGGGGTATCTGAGAGTTCATGTTCCTGTGAATTCCTCAGACATTATAAGTGTTTTGAATGTCAATTAGTGTAAATTCTGTAGAACTCTCCTTAAATACTTCAGTAATGTTTCCTTAGCACACTGAATTTACAATGTACTTTTGAGGCATGTTTTTAAACTGTTCAGGCAGGTTTCCTGGGTCATCTGTGAGGAAAAAAAGGCATAAGTAACCTTGTTTGCACTGTCAAATTAGACACAGATTCACAGTGTGGTGAATATTCCAAAGTAACACATACACAGGGAAACTTTCCACAAAGGAGATCCTCTTGTCATCTCCAGATCTGGATGACAATTGGACAGGGGTGGTCTTCAGATGCATGCACAAAGAGAAGCCATTTCCTTGCTCTCCAAAGTATGTCCTATGTGTGGAGCCCCTGAGATCCTCAAGAGATCAGGAAATTACCTGATAGTTTTCAACACTGGCACCAGTGTTGAGTGTGCAGATCCTCTGAGGGTCAGGAATCCCCTGGGTATGTGCTTCAGGATATGGACAGGCACCTACAAGAGAAGGAATATTATAGACCAATATAAACTGGTTGAGTGTTAGACTATCCCTAAACAAAGAACAGTGGTCTTAGCAGGTTTACATTTAGTGTAATTCAGGGACTAAAGAGGCAGGTATACTGCCAATTGTCTTCCCAGGCCAAGATCATTAGGTTCTCTTCAGGGATGTCTGACCTTAGGGAATAATTTCCCATGGTAGCCCAGGAAAAGCATTTCTCCAGCAACATGTCTAAACATAGGCACTCTGCTTCCTGTACCCCATCTCAAGTCCTCTTGTTTACATTACATGAAATACATACTTGGTGAAAGTGAGCTTCCACAAAAGATCCTGCCCAAAAGACTCTGCAAATATTAGGAGAGAAAAGTTAGTTAATAGAGATCTGGAATTTGCATATGGGACTCCATGTGACCTACATTAACAAACTGGTCATGTTGGCACTGTCAATATGCCAGTGGGTACAATTTAAGCAGTGTCCCAACCAAACACATTATGTCCAAAAGAGCATCTCAAGGACTCATCTCTGTCCTGTGTGAGGAGGATATATGTGGACAGCTTTGCCAAGTTGTTTCTAAAGTCCTGCTATAAGTAGCTGCTACTGATTGCACCTGCTCCTGCACCTGTTCCATCCAGTAGAAAGACAGTGAAGGGGGAAGGTGCTGGTAGTGGGGAGCCTCAGCTGACTTCTGTTCCCTAAGAAGAAAGGGCTAAAGGCAGGAAGGTAGCTTTCATAGCAGGGATACACAAATTTCCATCAACCCAAGGAAATGTTATTAGTAAACAGAAATTAACATCACGTCTGTTCATACTGATATTTGCCTTCTTAAGCAGCAGCACCTGTGTCGGGAGCCAGTGATATTCTTAGGTTATCTGTCCTAGGTTAGACTGACCTGGCAAAGCACCCACATTTCCCTTTCCCAGGTCCTGGCTTAAATAAAGTACATCAGGACAGAAACTAGCCTTCGGGATGGAAAGCAGCTATACCCACAAAAACAAGAAGCTCAGTAGCTCTAGGCTGGGTCCACACTAGTGCTTGTGGTTCATCAGCTCAGGAGAGAGAAAGTAACTGGCCAGACTCGGAGAGATGTCCTCCATTCAGGTATAAGATCTTTACCCTTTTTACACAAACTGTTCCTTCATAATGATTATAGGACACAAGGTCAGAGGAGAAGGACACTCTACTTGCCACAAGTTATGACAAGATCCCTCTGGATGTGTGTGTGTGTGTTGTCTTTCCTTATGCCTTTGTCCCTCTGTGTCATGAGCTCAGTGAAAAATGTACTTGGGATTGAAAAAGGTAGATTTAGCAGTGTCATGCTTATTTGTCTGTAGACTTATGCACGGATAGACCAGATCACAGAAACATCTCTCATACAACAGGACTATATTGGTGGTCTTAGTGCTGCTTTTAGCCATACGAAGCCAGCAGATGAGCCCTAGTGTCAGCCCCTTCTAAGTGGCCATTATTCATTGCAGAGACCACTGATCTGCCTGGAGTGTGTCCATGGCATCCACAACAACAAGATTAACACAAGGACACCCAAGTAGACATCTTAGCAGAATGCACGGACTTTATGGTCACAAGGAACTGTCTAGATCTGACTTCCTCTCATATGGGATCTAAATCAAAATTAGATCCTTGACTGTTAACTAAGTCATGTGTCTATTGTGCTCCAAGACAGGGAAGCATTACCCACCTTCCAAAGTGGAGCAATATCTCTGCATTCATTCCAGAGTGGTACCCATTTCCTTCCAGCAAACTATCACCTTCCTGTTTGGAAACAATTATTCTTCTGACAAAGGCCCCACAGAAAGGGCCACTAGACCTATAGCTAGACTGACCTAGCAGCATACAGTAGGACTGTGACTCTTGTGAGGAGAGGGGCAAAAGGTTACTGACAAGATGCAAACACGACAATAAGGAAGGTAGGTAGAGAGAGAAGGAACACCACCTTTCCCCAGTGTGACAAAACATCTCTCTTGGACCTGATCGTGTAGGGGAAGAAAGACAAATGGGTATTAATACCCATAAAGACTGGTCCATTGGGTCTTCTAATTCATGGGCACTTTGGTGTTGAATTTTGGCACAAGGCTTAAGTCTGAGAAGGATGCTATAGAAGGCCATCCATGGGACCTAGCCTTGTTAACCAACTTTTTCTATGGAGAATCCTGTGGCAGATGATGGCTTACCTCCTCCTCCTTCTGAACTTCTCTCCTGGGTTAGTGGTCCCACTACCATCTGGACTTCCTGCAGGGCTCCCACTTTGACAGTCTCAGTCACATCAGGAAAATTCCTACCCCATGTCTCAACCTTCTTAGAGACTTATCAATTCAGAAGGCAATGATGTATTCAAGACACAGTCTTAAGAACTTTCAAATATATACTTCAGATTTTTAACTCTTATATACTTCTGGGTCATCAATTTTTAAGTGGTTCCTTCCCTCACATTCTTTTTTTCTTCACCAAAATCCTTTCATCCTTTCCTCTTTTAAATAACTAATTCTGGAAACCTAGGCAATATCTGCTTCTCATCCACCACTGTCTACCTTCAGCTCAATCATTTCATGCTAATGGTAGTAGTGATGCTATAGGACTGCTCCATTACAAATACGATTTGCTAATTTTCATATTCACAGTTATCATGCAATGACTTCAGAGGACATTAGAAAATATATAGATTAAGTAAAACAGGAGTGCATCTTTGGAACCCCATGTATCTGTGTGTGTGCGACTGCACCACTCTCCACTTCCACTGGTTCACTCTGAGAAACATGGCTTCTCTTTGAGGCTGGCATGCAGCAGCATAAGAGTCTCAGACAACTTCCAATTCTCTTTTTAACCCTCTTCCATCCTCGGGACAGATGGTTGGCAGAGGCTGCAGTTATGACTTCAGGAGGAACATCCTCAAAGCTGTTCTTAGATATTTCCTGAAGTGAAGGTTTCTGGAATTCAGATATGCCTTCAGGATGGTCATCATCAATGCTATTCTTGGATGTTTCCTGAAGGGAAGTTCTCTGGACATCAGTTAAGTCCTCACTTGGGACATCTTCACAGATGTACTTTGATGTTGTCTGAAGATAATAGTTCTGTATTTCAGGAATGGCTTCAAGAGGAACATTGGTAAAGGTCTTCTTCAATGTTTGCTGAAGAGAAGATCTCTGTATTTCAGGTATGCCTTCAGGAGAAATAACATCATAGCTGTTCTTTGATGTTGCCTGAAGGAAAGATTTCTGGACTTCAGGAATACCTTCAGAAGGGACATCATCAGCAGTGTGTTTGGATGTTACCCAAAGAGAAGATCTCTGGATGTCATAAGTAGCTTTGGGATTCACACTGTGAGGTACCTCGCTATAACTGCTTATAGAGTGTGTACTCTCAGTGTATGAGCTATTGTCTGAGGTGTTCACAACCTGGGATGGTTCAGAAGACACACACATTGGAGAAGAAATGCTCTCAGAGGACAGGGATATTGAGGATGACCAATTGCATGTCATGCTATCCATTGCCAAAATTCTGCTCTTGCTATAAGTAATCTGCTGAGCAAATTTGGGGGCTGTGGATAGATGTTTGTTTTCCTTCTGCTGTGAGCACAAGGTGGCCGGCATGCTCATGCTTCTCATCCTCTTCTTCCTTGATACCTTCTCATCGTGTACCTGGTGTTCTTCCTGCAAGGTGGGAAGGACAAGCTCACTCAGTCCCCTCTGAGAATGAAAGTTAGCAGCAGCACTTGAGGGAGTCATATCAACATGGGCCTGCAAGAACTTTGCAGCATATTTCGAGTGGTCCCTGGGTGACTTGTGGTTTAAGATTAGATATGTGGCCATGATATGATTGAACTTTTTCTCCTGTAGAGAAGAACTAATGTCCTTGGGGTCATAGCCCATACTCCACATAGCCACCACAATGCTGGGATTTAGTTTGTTACACAGTGAATCTAATGAAGGTGTGATTTGCAAAAATTCTTCCTCGGACATCAACCACTGATGTTGCCTAATGTCACTTATCGTGGGCCTCTGCTCAGGCTGCACAGTGAGCAATTGCACTATGATGTTTTGTAGCTTTTCAGAAAGTGTGTAAGGGAGGTGGTACTTGGGATCTAGCATCTCCTCCTTCATTTCTGAGTAGGTGTTTGCTTTGAATGGAAAGGATGCCGTCACCATTGCATATAAAACCACTCCCATGCTCCAGATGTCCACAGCCCTTGCATCATATTCTGTGTCACAGAATAGTTCAGGGGCACAATATTCAAGGGTACCACAGAATCCCTTGGTGCCCTGGCCAGGAGTGACTTGGGCGGCTAGGCCAAAGTCGCAAAGCTTGATGTTCCCTTTGCCATCCATCAGGATATTGTCTAACTTGATGTCTCTGTGTGCAATGCCGTTCATATGGCAGTAGTCAACTGCACACACTACCTGTGCAAAAATGTGCTGGGCCGTGTCCTCCTGCAGACGGCCCACCCTCTCAACATGGCTCACCAGATCTCCTCCAGCAACATGTTCCATCACCATATAGGTGTATTCTTTGGTGTTGATGAGATGGAACAACTGGGTAATATTTGGGTGGTTCAAAGTTTTCATGATGTCCATTTCAGTTTTTACGCTGGAGTCATTTTTTGTTCCCATTTTCAGGACTTTGATAGCCACTTGCACCTCTGTGTGAAGGTGGTAAGCTAGCTTCACCTCAGCAAAGGCCCCTTTGCCAAGGGAGTTGAGCATGACATAGTGGTCTGTCAGTGTCTCCTCTTCAGAGGCGCTTGCCTTCAAGTCCAGTTCCATAGTCACCTGCTCACTGGTCTTGTTAGTGAGAGTCTTGATAGTGTCCATGATGACACCAACTTAAAAAAAAAAAAACAGATTAAGAACAAAGAGAGGTAGATCTTTTGGATAGTTTATTCCTTTCAGTCTACATGGAGAAGAGTGACAGATGTGAGAAAACTTACCATGAATATCTGGGTCTCAGAAAAATAAGAATAAAGTAAATTTAAAAAAATGGAAAACAAACTAAAAATGAGAACTGAATGTAAAGAAATAGATAATAGTGACCATTGCACAGGCATAGATACTTAATTGTTAGAAAGGGTAAATAAAACAGATACAAGCTTACCAAAATCAAATTCGGTAGGAGAAAACACAGTTTATATCTATAGCCAATCTATGGTGTTCTTACAGCAAAAATGACTGGAATATAAAAAATCATTTGGAAGAATTTATTTTGGCAACTAACTGTTGGTTGCATTTTGATATGGAGATGGTATCACATCTATTCTGTAAATATTTTTGAAGATAAAAATGAATGTATTAATAAATCTATGCAAACCAACTCACTCCATAACCAATCTTGGGAATAAATTTTTCTTCTTTGTTCACTACTAAGTTCTCAGTAACCTAAACAATGGAAAGCCTATAACCATAAACATTTGAAATACTTTCTTAATGAAAGTATAGAGTACAAATAGTGACAGAGAATCAACATATCAGAAGAAATAACTAAATCTGAAGGAATAGAAAGAATCTTGATACACAATTTAACAGATGCTCTCCTGTGCTGAGGGAAAGAGGTTTTTATTTTTTGTTTGTTTTGTTTTTTAAGAAAAATATTTCCATTACCAAATTCTAATGTAATTCTTTAATAGCCATCAAATTTACCTCTTTGTCCTGTTCCCAAATGGTATATTTTACTCTGACACAATTTGGTGAATATGATGATATCACATTTGTCAACACCACACTGAAAATTGGTGTTTCAATACTGTAGAAAAATCATTCTCTATTAGTTAATAATAGTCATTTGCTATCATGAAAACTCAATTCATGAAACATTTCTCAGAAATCCATAATATCTATGATATATTTTCAACCATATATTTATTTACAACTTATTCTCAATTTTTTTTTTGAGACAGGGTTTCTCTGTATTGCTTTGGATCCTGTCCTGGAACTAGATCTGTAGACCAGGCTGGCCTTGAACTCAGAGATCTGCCTGCATCTGCCTCCCTAGTGCTGGGTTTAAAGGCATGCACCACCAATGCCTGTCTTGAAAATTTTTATTCTTTCAATGATTTAGATAATTTCATACATGATTATTCAATTTAAAATTTTTATACTACTTCTCATTCATGTTCAGATCTGACAAATTTTCCTTGAGGGAGAATTACAGCTATGATGTTTTCCAATAACATTGTAAGTATGAAAAATGATAATGTCCCAAGGTTTCTGTGTTCCCTATAATATTTAGAGCAATATAATTAAAGGCTATCTAAGAGGTCAATGATGTCAACACATTTCTCTTTCAAATTGCATAAACTTCCTAGTATTTTTAATTCTATTTTCATATATTATACCCTGACCACATTTTTCTCTCTTTGCCCTACATCAGTTATCACCTTATCTTCACCAGATTTACCTTCTGACCATATCCCCCCAGAAAAGGTCTGGCTTCCCAGGAACATCAACTAAATATGTCATAATATACTACCATAAGTCTAGGTAATGCAAGAGAAGGAAAAGAGTAGCATAAGCAAGTCAAAGAGTCCACCCAACTCCACCTATCTCCAACTATTAGGAATTCCACAACAATGTCAGGATACTTAGCAATAACATACATACATACATACATATATATATATATATATATACATGTATATATATATATATATGAATGAGAGAGGGGGGAGGGCCTTTGGAAGACTCTCTACAAGCTCCCTGATCTCTGTGAGCTCCTATAAATACTACCAATTTCTTTGTGGAAAATGATCTTATGCTGTCACTGACCCCTCTGTTTACCATGATTTTTCTTTGTAAATATTTTTAAAATGTATACTGTCATAAATTGGAAAGCTGGAACAAATGGCAAATTTCTAAATCTGTGATGTCTACCAAAACTGAAAACACAGAATATAAAAAGCATAGCAGATCAATAATGAGGAATGTAGTTCAATATTCATTGAAATAAAAATGTCAAGAAAAAATTTTGATTCAGTGACATGATCAGGTTCTATCTTACTGATTAGCTGAACATGGGACCCATGCAAACCACCAAAGCTCACATATAATGCTAAGACTATTTTTGGTATGCAACCCTATTGTTATGTCTTACTGCTGAAAACAATAGCCATGTATGTCAGCCAACATTGAAAAGTTGAGCTGGTGCATACTGAGAAGGTCCACCACTACTGAATGACAAATACAGTAAAGGAATGTACTCTGCATTCTACTGAAGGAGAAAGACAATCATCAATATCACCCCACTACAAACCCTAGGAAAACAGAGACACATTTGCAAAATAGACTCATGTAATAGTAGCATAAATACTACTATTATTGATTGGTTTTAAGACCCACTCCAGGAGATGGTATCCATAACTGACACTTCTAAAGTGGCCAAGAATCTGAGTAGATAGGTCATGGGCCTATGGGAAAACCTGACATTATTGTCGTGATAAAGGGACACAGTGATAAAATGACTCTTGTTGACATACTTCTAGACTGAGAGATTAATTTTTCAAACAGCCCACACCAGTGAAACTCTTTCTTGTAGGATATAGAACTAACACAGAGACTCACAAAAACAAAGAGAGAGTGTGAGACTTTATAATACTTAGTTCTGAATGGAATGGCTTCAAGAAAATCTTCCCTCAAGGATCAGGGAGCTCTTTGGAAGTGGAATCTGAATGAGCCTAGGAGCCATATGTAACAGATGATTCCAAGGAAGCAATTAATTCCAGATACAACAGGATTGATGTACACAGGAACTCACATAGACTGTAGCAATACACACAAGTACACTAAGTTTCAAGTCAGATGAGGGTTCTACCTGAAAACAGGAAGGGGAAACAGGGTTCAATATCTAAGCAAGGACAAATGATTAATTGTTTCCTGATAGCAATGGAAGAGTAAGTCTCCTCCAATGAATTCTCACTGGGTATCTTAACTAATCCTCTTGGTAGGACCCATGTGAGGGAATTGTTGGCAAACACATAAATCAGCTCAATAGAAATGTGGTAGAATTTGGAGCTCATTTTCCTTTGGGGGACATTTTCTAGGAATTGAGTTCTAGTTTTGATTTTTTAATTTTTACTAGAAAGAGAGAACGACCATGAGAATAGATGAGTAGGGAAGTAAGGAGGTTATGGGAGTAATTGGACATGGGGGAAAATGATGACAATAATTGTACTAAAGAGTATCCCTCCTAGAGAATGGCCTCCCAAAGCCCATTCATAAACTAGGGATAATAACTAGTTTCACTAACAGCAGCACCATAGACTGCCCAGCCATTCTCACTGACACCCATGTACAGGGTGCCTGGTTCGGTCTTAGGCAGACACCTATCCTTTTGTTGGAAGCTTTTACTCTAGGGAAGAGGCTACTAAGCAGGACTGATAGCCAGCTTGTATTTGTATTGGGACTAATGACTCTAAAGGAGAGGGTATTAGCAGGGGATGAATCATACTATATGTTGGGATTTGGTTGTGCAGGAGAAAATACCTGACAGAAACAGACACAGCAATTTATTGTGTGAGGGTTTTGCTTACAGAAAGAGAGTAAGCTAGTAGAACCTGCACTGCAATAGGGTAGGGCTTTGGTTGAATGGAAGGATATCTAGCAGTAAATAATTGACAATTCATTCTCAAGAGAGTGTTTATATATGTGGAGATACAGAGAGAAATAGGGAGAGAGAGAGAGAGAGAGAGAGAGAGAGAGAGAGAGAGAGAGATGGAGAGAGAGAGATGGAGAGTGAGAGAGAACATTCATGGATATTTATACCTAGCAGGACCAGAAAACTAGCCGTGTGTGTCTGTCTGTCTGTCTGTGTGTGTGTGTGTGTGTGTGTGTGTGTGTGTGTTGCTATAGAAGAGGGGATTCAGAGCATTACCTGCCTCTAAACACTGCATGGAGAATTTATGGATGCAAGGCTAAGGACACCTTAAAGGACATGGCAATTAGCCCTGGAAAGAGGGCTTTAGAAGGAAGGGAATTGAAAAGTTATCAGGACGTGCTAACAGAATCTGCTTGTGTGTATAGGGGAGTTCTTTGACTATTGGTGAAGGGAAACCTACTGGACCCAATACCTAGCTTTCTCTCTCTTGCCCTCAGGCTCTTTTGTTTCTACCTCCTCTCCATCTCTCCTTCTCTCTCATTCTCCCTCTCCTGTGAGTTTATGTGTGTACAATTTGGCTATTCGGGATTTAGATCACACAGGCCCTGACATCTAGTTTTGTGTGTGGATTTGGCAGTTGGCGATACTGTATCTGATATTTACCCATCTATATGTGTGTGAGGAATTGCAAGCAAAAGGGAAAAGTAAGGACCTGACATACAGCTTATAATCCTGTGTTGATGTGCAGGGACAGAGGTGGAACCTTTGCTTGTTCTGTTCCTTTTGTGCAGGGACATGTAAAAATGCATGCATCAGCCCACAATCATTCTCTTCCAGAGTTGTGAAAACAGATTTAGTTTCTGAAGGTCTGATACATTTTTGTACTATTTCTAGTCTGGCCTGAGTGAAAGGGTCATCAGGCAATATCTGTGCACTATAAGGTGATTGATGACTACCTTAAATGATATCATAGAGCCTTCATTCAGTAGCTGATGAAAGAAGAAGCAGAGATTCACAGCCAAGCACTGAGCCAAACTCTTGGAATCCAGTTGCAGAGAGGGAGAAGTGATGAGCAAAGAAATCAATACCATGCTTGGGAAACCCACAGAAACAGCTGACTTGAGCAAGTGGGAGTTAAAGGACCCAGAGTGACAGTTCAGGAGCCGGCATAGAACTGTACCAAGCAAGCTGAACATGGGTGTCAGTTGGTGGCCTTAAGCAGTCCATG